TGTCTGGTCAGCTGGTCACTAGTCAGTCTACTTTTCTCATCATCCCTGCTCATCTTCTCCTCCAAGCAGGCACTCAATTCACTTCCTTAACCATTCCTCTGAAATTCAAGGTTATAGGATTTCCATCTCTGTCCGTTTCATTTGTATTCGACTCACGTTTTTGTTTTTGTTTTTAACAGAGGGTCCATGTAATACGTCTGCTTAGTCCACTATCTTCCTGGAAATCCAGCTTAATTTTTTTTTTTTTTTTTCATGATTTGGAATTTTGTTTCACATTTTCTTTCACTCTATCCAGGACTTTCTATTAGGATCCCTTTCATAGCAGCTGCTAGTGGTAACCAGGTAACATCTAGTTCTTTTAGTCTCAAAATATTAGAGATTGATGTTCCCATGATGCATTAGTTCACTGGCCAATCATTTATATGTCTTCAATTTTTATCCTTCTTCTTACCTTCAGACAGGGCAAGAGCAATATTTGTAGCTTAGATCGCCACTCACCAAGTTTTTAAGACTCCAGGAGCTCTTCACCAAAGTAGGATACAGAGAACTGTCCCAGTGGACTATATTTACAAGATTTTTAACCACAATCTTGGGATCTAAGAATTTCACCATCATACTCCCTGGTTTGTGGTATAAATGTCCCTTCATCACCACCTCAACCCTAGCTCAGCCCTGCTGATTGGAGGTTCATTAAAGGTGAAACCTGAGCAACATCAGACAACAGAAGAAGACAACTTAAGGATGGTTGCAGCATCCAGATTCCCAGGCTCCTGCTCTACCCTGTTCCAGTGAGAGGATGTTTGCAAACACAGAGACAGAGTTTTTCTCTCCAGAGTTGTCCTTCCAATCAGACCTCAAATTTGAAATGAGATATGAGATCAATATCACAAGAAACACAGGTGTCCAATATTCTAGTGAGGGGCTACTTTGGCTTGATTGTCTCCTGTAAACCAGATTGCATTGCATTGCTGCATTCCCGTGTTTTCTTCATTGCATGTTCCTGCTTTCAGGGGCAAACACTGTTGTTGTTAAGTGCCTTGGAGTAGATTCCTACTCAAAGCGACCCTGTATAGGATTTCTGAGGAGTGACTGAGCTTGAACTGCCAATCTTGAAGTTCAAACCGACTTTTCAGTCCACAGTACCACACTTTGGCTCAACTGTGTCTTTTATCCCAGATTGCAAAGCATTTCTGCATCATCCTCAAGTTTCTGTCATTGTATATTCCTGCCAGCAGGTGGCAAACATTGTTGTTGTTAAGTGCTATCTAGTCAATTCTGACCAATAGCAACCCTTTGTAGGATTTCCAAGGAGCAGCTGGTGAGTTTGAGCCATTTGTGGTGGTTTTCAGAGCCAGCTCTGCAAATGTTTCCATATGGGAACAATGAGGCTGTGATTCTGATGATGACCAGCCACCTGTGCTCTCCACCCCACAGCCCTCTCTATGTTCTGCAAGTCACACTCCAGCTCATCCTCTCTCTCCCAAAACCACAGCGTTGGCATCTCATCTGAGTCACAGGAACTTAGTTTTCTTAAGGTCAATATCTTTTCTAAGTTCCTAACGACATATTAGCATTTTGTTCTTAATTAGTTTACTGGTTTATAGAGAACATGAGTCATTTTGTACTCCCTAAAGAATCTGGCCTAGTGATGGGTATAATGGTACTTGCTTCAGGAATACTGTTAACAAGAATCGAGGTCAAGACTCACTGGGTCTACTCTCTAAATTCCTCTAGAATGTTTTGTCATTAAATGATATTAGACAGCACAAAAGCCCCTCAGTCCTCAAGAGCCCGAGGGCTGATCTTATCAATCCTGGGAAAGGAGGAGAGTGGAAACCCTACTCAACAGCTGCTTCCCTCTGACGTATGTCAAAGCCATGATCTCAGAGGAGAACAGAGCTCCATAGGGTTTTCATTGGCTGCTTTCAGAAATCAGGTAACTGATCTTTTTTCATGGTCACTCTGAGTGGATTTCAACCTCTAAACTTTTTGTTAATTGTGAAGCCCATTAATTGCTTGCATTCCCCAGGCACCAAGAAAAAAATCTCAAAAAAGACACAGAAAAAGTAAAAAACACAATCGTCCAACTTGGCCCCAAAGACTAATGTCGAGCACTGTGCCCAACAATGAAACAATACACACATTTTACAGTGCATATGGAACGTTCTCTAAAATCATCCATAGGATAGACCACAAAGCAAGCCACGATACGCTCAAAAACATAAAAGTACTGAAAGTTATCTTCACAGATCACCAACATAAAATTAGAAATCAGCAATAAGAAGATCATGAATTGAAATTGAATAACAGCCAGCTTAGCCACTACTGGGTAGAAGGAGGAATAAAAATTTTTGAATCAAAAAAGAATGAATCAAAACATACCAGAAGCTTTTGGGAAAGAGCAAAAGCAGTGTTCAGAGGTCACTTTATAGCTACAAACACACACGACAAAAGAAGAAATAATGAAA